CATACCCAGATTGATTCCCTACTACACTGTCAAACCTTTAAAAAAAACTAACATCAATCTCCATCAAATTATTTTCTAAAACAGAAAGGAAAGAACAGTACCAAATTAATTTTAGGAAGCCAATACAAAAACGGACAAACATACACACATAAAAAACAAGATGATAGGCCAGTGTCCTGATTAACACAGATGCAAAATTTGTCAAATATTTTCAAACAAAATATAATTATACATAAAAAATCACTTATAATTGAATGAAATTTTATTGAATATATGTTCCATATTTTAATTATCTACTGATCTGTTGCTGGACATGTAGGCTGTTTCTATTTCTATATATGGTGGTTTGAAAAAAATGCCTCCCATAAGAAGTGTCACTACTAGGAGGCATGGGTCTGTTGTAGTAGGAATGTAGTAGGTTGGAGAAAGTGTGTCCCTGTGGGGGTGGGCTTTGAGGTCTTCCAGTGTCGCACAGACTCTGTCTGTTGCCTGCAGATCAAGATATAGGACTCTCAGCTCCTTCCCCAGCACCATGTCTGCCTGCATACTACCATGTCCCAACATGATGATAATGGACTAAACCTCTAAACTGTAAGCCAGCGCCAATTAAATGTGTTCCTTCACAAGAGTTGTTATGCTCATAGTGTCTCTTCACATCAATAGAAACCTTACTTAAGGCAGACGTTGTTACCAAGGGCTGGGATATTGCTGGAACAGTCCTGACCATTTTTTTTTTTTCTTGGCAGAAATTAGGATTTTGGGAGTTTGTGTTAGGAAAGCATTGGAATGCTTTAAATACAGTGGTGCTCGGGAGCCTGACTAAAGAGGTCTCAGAGAAGTATGTGGCCTTGAGATCATTATTATAATATGTTGGTGAAGAGTTTGACTGCTTTTTGTGCTTGTCTGGAAAGTTTGCCTGAGGCTAAAGTGAAGAGTTATGGGTTAATTTTGTTGGTAGGGGAAATCTCAAAGTAGCTTAGTATAGACTCTGTCCTCTGGTTATTAGTCTAATGAAGATTTCTAATTAAAAGGGGCAAGTTGAGAAAGGAAAAGTACAAAGCAGACAATATGAGGAGAAAGGCACACCAGGAGTAGAATGGAGCTAAGTCCTGTGTTCAAGGAGATAAACCGATTAAGAAAAGGAATAAAGGAAGTGGTGACCTCAGAGCGAGATCCCCACCCAGCTAAGTTTCCAACTGGTGAAAAGAAACTAAAGAAAAGTTTAGAGATGAGTGTGGTGGTACATGCCTTTAATCCTAGCACTAGGGTGGCAGAGGCAAGTGGATCTCTGAGTTTGAAGCCAGCCTGGTCTACAGATCAAGGTTCAGGACAGCCAAGCTTAGGCAGTGAAGGAAACCATAGTAAACAGAAAACTTGTGAAGATGTAATTAAATGAAGGGGCCATGTTTCAGCCCAAGTAAACAGCAGAATTTGGCAGCTTTGGCCACATTCTGGCATTAAGGATAGAAGAAAGGGGATATGGAATATTCCTCCACAACTAAGAAAAACAACCAAGGCCAGGTATGTATCAGGGGTGTCCTTGAGTGGAGGTCCAGAAAGGCCATTGCATGAAGCCATGAAAGTGAAGCCTGGATTACCTTTGTGGCCACATGGAGATGCCAGAGCCATGGGATACCTGCCAAGGAATGCTGCTAATGGAATGGAATGATACTGGACTAAACCTCTGAACTAACTGTAAGGTAGTTCCAGTTAAATGATTTCCTTTGTAGGAACACAGATGTGGTGTTAGGGTGGACACCAGGATTTGAGTTGAGAGAAAGAATATGATCAAAATATAGTATATAAATGTATGAAATTCTCAAAGAACAAGTAAAAATATTATATACATATGTATTTAAAAAGGTAATTATCTGTGAGAGGTATTTGGGGGTTTTGGAGATAATAAAGGGAAAGGGAAAATAATGTAATTATATTATCTTTTTAAAAAATTTATTACTAAGTACTTAAAGCTAAAGATGTCTTCCTGGGATGTAGAATTTTAATTTTCTGATTATGGAACCCAATTTTTAAAATTTAATAACCCAAATGGGATAAACATAGGTCTGATTCCCCCACCCACCAGAAAAAAGGATCATTCTCCATGATCAAGCAGGCTTCATTCAAGCAAGAGTAAGCCTATACACACATAAAAAATATGATACATTGTAATACTCAGGACAGAAATCACACAATAAGATAATAAATTCATGGCTCTGATGAAGTTCAACATAATCTACATGCTAAACATAATCCACATGATAAAAGTATTAAAAAACCTGAAATAGAAGAAACCAACCACAGAATAAAAAGGCAAAATGTGACAAACTATAGCTTATATCTTACTAAATAGGGAAAAACTTAGAGCATTTCCACTACATGAAGACAGGGATGCCCTCTCCCTCCACTCTATTCTTAGTTAGTGCAGTAAGATACATAAATAAATAAATAAATAAATAAATAAATAAATAAATAAATAAATAAAAAATGATGCAAGTGAGAAAGGGAGAAGCCAGTGAACCAACTATAGCCCTCTACATAAGAGAGTCTAAAGACCAACATGAGATTTCTAAAATGGATAAAACACCTTTAACAAAGGATGAGGATATAAAATTCAACTTATACAAAAAGAGGGTTTTCTCCATGTGCAAACAATGAACAGGATGTGAAAGAATCAGCAAAACAATCCCATTCACAACTGTTCAAATATTACCTTGGAAAACACCTAAATAAGAAAGGAAAAGATCTTTATAATGAAAAATTTAAAACACCAGAAGCAGAAAGATCTCCCAGGCTCATGGATCAGTACAATAAGCACAGTAAAATGGTTACCTCTCTGAAAGAGATCTATAGATTCCATACAATCTCTGCCAAAATTCAAATGATACAATCTCAGGAGGCAGAGGCAAGGAGATCTCTGAGTTCAAGGCAGTTTGGTCTACATACTGAGTTCCAGGACAGCCAGTGCTATGCAGAGAAACCCTGCCCCCCCCAAAAGAATGACATTTAATGGCAATTCTAATTTGTTTTAATACTAAAAACCTGGAGTCAGATAGAGTGGTTAATCAGAGAAGCAGAACAGGCAGCCACTAGTTAGTTCTTACCTCTACTGAATCCTCAGATTGAATGGGCTGAACTCCTGTCTCCTCCCACTTTATATTCCTTTCTCTACCCAGCCCAGCCATATCCCTTCCTGTCTCTACCTCCCTAGTGGTGGAATTAAAGGCCTGTGACTTCCAAGTAATGGTATTAAAGGTGTGAGTCATCACTGATTGGCTGTGTTTCACTTTTAGACTGGGCCAATTTTGTGTAGCCCAATGTGGCCTTGAACTCAAAGAGATCAGCCTCCCGAGTGCCAGTGCTGGGATTAAAGATGTGCCACCCCTGCCTTGCCTTTATGACTAACTAGTGGCTAGCTCCACTGTTTGTCCTTCAGGTAAGCTTTATTTGTTAGATCACACACAAAATATCACCACAATGGCACCTGTGATGTAGCTTCAGGTAGCAGCACAGATAAAAGGAGCTGTGTGGAGGAATATAATTCTGTGCTCACTTGGCTCTGACCTTTGCTGCCTATTGCTGCTGCTGCTGCTGCTGTTGATTCCTTACTGCTATTAGAACCAACATTTCCAGGTTCTGTCACTGCCTGAGGACCAGTGGCTCCAAGGAACACACCGCATGTTCTTTGTAAGATTGCGGCTAAGACACCTAGCCCATGTGATTGAGCAACTCCTGGCTTAGTGTCTTCCATTGTGAGAGCCACCATAGACCACTTGAAGAGGCATCAAGACTCCAGAACAGAGCACTTACCTTGTTCTCAGTCTCTTAGGAATGAGACAACTGCTGTTACTATTTCAAAGTAAGTTGATTTAATAAGTTCTTTTAACACACACACACACACACACACACACACACACACACACACACACACACACACACACCACTGCTCTTCTTGGTTAATATTGGTTCAGTTCCTATAGAGAACCTCGATATAACAGTTGTCATAGAACAAGAAAAAAACAATTGTTAAATTAATATGGACACACAAAAGACACTAAATACCCACAGAAATCTTTGGCAAAGAGATAACTGTTAGCATTATCACAATGTCATCTGGTTTTCATTCTTACCACACGGACAATATTAGCATGGTACAATAGAATAGAATAGAATGGAATAGAACAGAACAGAATTGAATTCATACATAATTAGGGCCATATAGCTTTAGCAACCTGATTTTGATAAAAATGCCCAAACCATAAAATGGAGAAAAAAAAAAAAAAAAAAAGGTCTCTTCAAAAAGGGTTACTGAGAAAACTGGATTATCCACATATACAAGTACAATGCCAAAATGGGCCAAACACTTACTGTTGAGAAGTGTTTTTAAAATAAAAGTCTCTTGAAATTAAAACAAACCAACAAAAAGAGAGAAAATGGATGCCTAGACTACACAAAATTTAATAGAAGACATTATTGTAATGCCATTAGAGGAGAAAATTGGGAAAACACATAATAATATAGGCATCAGCAAGAATTTCCTAGAAAGGACTCCAGTAGTTCAGGAAGCAATAGCAAGAACATAGAAATAGGATTACATGAAACAAAACAAAACAAAACTTTTTACTACAAAGCAAACAATGAGCTGAGTGAAGATGACCTATAGAATGGGTCAGTATTTGTCAGAGGATTCAGATTAGCTACTATCCTAAATCCAAACAACTCAATTCCCAAGTAAGCTAATGAACTAGACAGTTCTCAAGAGGAAGAAAGGGTAATAAACACGAAAAAATATTCAACATCCCTAGCTATATGGATGTTAAAACTACAGAGATTCTATCTCACTTCAGAAATGCTGTCAAAGTATGACAGAAGGGAGCCTCATAAACTTATGGTGGCAATACAAATCAGCCTAGCCAATGCCAAAACTGTTCTCAATTTAAAAAAACTTTTATGTCTATAATTTACATTTGCATTCTAAATTAATATTTATCTCTTAAGCTTACCATCTCTATCAGCAGCTTCTCGAGGCTTCGATTTTAAAGTGAAAATCTTCCGTAGTTTACAGTTAGCAGAGACGATAATTCCATCCAAGGACTGGAAAACTGCTCCCTTAAATATCTCACTGGTGAATGCGACCATGTCAATGCACAGATTGCACCACTAGAAACAAGGGAAGCAGATGCGAGTTAGGACCTTCCATGCCACAGAAGCAAAGCCACCATACGCTTAAAGTTGAGGTGTTTATATATATTTTTCAGCTTGGTCACAGTGTGCGCTTTCTGTTTGACTCAAGTTTCCTCAAAAGTAGCCTTGATTCTACTCCACAAATCACCACAATCTGAATGTGACTCCACAAATCACCACAATCTGAATGTGACTCCACAAATCACCACAATCTGAATGTGACTCCACAAATCACCACAATCTGAATGTGGTGAGGTGACTATTGTGCTGCCATCATGAGACAAGCATGGCTGCTCTGGGAAATAACTCTCTTGTCAGGGGACACTATGCTAGTGTAAGGCTAACGGCAGGTGCTTAGAACACTTAAAGCTTGAACATCGGAGATAAGTAGCCTGTTGTTTTTTCAAGTGTATTAATTTGATTACAATTAGCTACTTTAGTTTTGATTTGAAAAAGGTAGGAATTAAATTAGAAGCTTGGTTAAATGGTACCCAGTACTATATACTTAACAACCAATTAACCTATTGTACAGAAATAGATTCTTCTAAAGGATTTGTAATTATGCCGGGTGTGTGCCAATTTTGAAGTACTATTGCAGGTACTAATTCCAGCCTATTAAACAATTAGATTTCTTAGTACTTCATCAAATGAACTCTCTGGTCTGGCTGAATAAAGGAAGAGGAAAAATAACCATTAGTGAGAAATTAAGATACATTTAAGATTGTAGGTTAAAAGTAAAAAATAATTTTTGAAATTAGAATAAAAGTACTATTAAAATTCCATGTCCTTCTCTTAAATATTAGGGTCTTCAATCATTTTTATAAGCACAGTTTATAACTATGACTTTCTAGGAGGATGCCGATTTAATATAGAGCTGAGCCTATGGTATCTCAATGGTAGATCCATTAGAGACTGGAGTGGGTTACTGATTACATCAAAAACATGATTTCTTTTTGTAAAGTTGCATTGCTAGGCCATGACAGTACTATGGCTCTTGGGGAGTATAGAACGTGGAGTTAGCTAAGGAGGAATGGGATTAAGTATTGGATAGTGGTAATTGGCTGGATTGTGGGACTTTGGGTAGGGCCTGGGGTAGGGCATCAAGCCTGTGAAAACAAGTTCTCAAGGAACCTGAGATTCTCTACAAGGCAAATGTTTCTGAAAGTTCTGTAAATTATAATGTGAAAATGCAGAGCACTAGGAATCAAGTTTGGGTCATCTGTGATGAGGGAATATCTCGGTGACAGAGGAGGTCTTTGGGGGATGAGGTGGGCTGTGTCAGAATAAATATCACTGAGACACAGATAGTCTTATGTCTGTTAGTCACACAAGTGTGAGGTGAGAAGGCTGGTTAGAAGGTTGACATGGGAGCCCATTAGAATACAAGGAACAAATCCAATAGAGAGGCCCATCAGGTGGAACTTGATGGCCGGTGAAGTCCAGATCATAGAGAATGGAGGTGTGCATTGCCTTTATCCATTAGTATATTCTATAAACACCTTTTCCTAAAAGACCTCACATGCCCCAGTTCTAGCTAACTAGTTCAAGCTACCAAGAATTCCCTTATTTCTTCCCCCACACACTGAGTTCATATTAAGTGCAAGGCACTGGTCTTACTTCTGGAGATATAACAAACATGAGATAGTTTTCTGTCTTAAGAAGAGAGACAGACATATGGCTTCTACTTAACACAGTTACTACAGAGGGGGCTTAGGATGGGTTAGTTTAGAAAAAATAGCTTAAGAATTGTTGAAATCACAGTCAAACTTGAAAATAAAAGCCCACTACTGTCAAGGTTTTACCTGATCATCCTGTTAAATCAATTAATGAGTCTCTTCTCCACATGCAATTTATTTATTTATTTATTTTTGACACTTTTAGAAATTAATTCACCCCCTGCCCCATGTCAGAAGAGACCTCCGGTTCACTTCACACCCTGCTTTTTAAACTTCATCCTCCCTGGATTATCATCTTTTGTTTATTCTATTTTCCCCTAGCATTTCATATTTTGAGATTGTATTAACGGGGTTGTAATAATACACAGAATGGAGCCAAGTGGTACGTTGTGACAACATTCCCTTCCACCACAAGCCTTTTTCCCCCTTTATATTTGAGTTAACTGCTGCTTGTATAATCTGCTCCCTTTTAAAAGAATCGACTCTTAGGTTGTCTACTTCTTGGAAAAGCTTCCCGATGCCACCCCCGTTTGGTTCTGAAGAAGTTTACCATGTGCAGAACGCAGGTGAACATGTTTGTGATCTCACCTGTTCCTCTACCCCTGCTTATCTGAGCCCTGGGTGGGCTATACTACCAGTCCAGCTAGGGAATTAAAGCCCACTTCCTTCTAACCGAGTCCCAGGAAAGCAGCCTGAATCCAGGGCAGACATGATGCCCTTATTCTCTCTTTTGAAAGATTTTAGTTTGCAGAGCAAGGATGTAAGAAAGGGGCAGGAGAATAATTCTTGCAAGCGGAATATAGAAAATGATAAAGCATGGACATTGACATGGGAGGAGAGAACAGAAATTATGAAAACAAGAAAGTTACTATGGTGAGGGGGCTAGTGGTCATGCTAGGCTGATTCTGCTACATAGGGCTAGTAGCTGAATCACCAATGTCTTGTGAAATAACTGAAGTCTCTCCCAGTTCATGGCCCACAACAAGGAAATAGGGCCCCAACCCTGGAACAAATGATTCCAGATGAACAGACAGCCCTGTCTGGGTCACTCCTGGCCTACGGACAGTCTGGAGACTTTCCAAGTCATTCTATGGTTTATCCCTTAAATAACAACAGGTCATACTTGGGTGATCTCTCAAACATGAGACCATACTTTGTAATCAATCACCTTGTGCCCCATGCATGTATGCTGATTGCGGTCTTTCTTTATAAAAAGAGACCCTGAACCCTTTGGGAGGTGTGCAGCTTTCCCCGAGATTGCTGTCACCCTAGTGCACTCGTTCAATACACCCCTCTTGCTTGTTTCATCTCCTGGATTTGGTGTTTGTGTCGCGGGGCTCTCCCATCAGCCCATAAGGACCCCAGAATTAGGGTCCGATACTTTCTGACTCATTCTTGTTTGCAAAGTCTTCAATAAGTATGTGTCTAAGCATGAATACATGAAAATATATGCAACTGCACTCATGTTTACACACACACACACACACACACTTTCATCTTTTTAATAATTAAACAAATGTCTGATAAGTAGTATTTTTATTCCATGGGTCTACCACCAAGAAGGTGGATCCTGAAAAAAATGGAGAAACCTTTTATAAATCCACCTTGGCTAGAGAAAATAGAAATACATACACACATATATTGTGGTTTAGCAGATTTTATAAGGTTATAAATTCCATAAGCTTCAACAAACAATGAAATAATCACATGAATACTATGATGTATGTTACAAAGTTTGGGGAAAGAGGATAAAATCTACTACTAATGTGGATTATAGGAAACATCTTTATAAAATCATTTTTCATTATTCTTGAAAGTATCATCCATTATTAAAGTCTTTATGCATTTCTGACATTTTCTTTATTTTTAATTACTCTATTTTTTGGTGATATATTGTTTATTATCTAATAAAGACAGTGAAGATCAGAGAAGCAAAGTAGCCAGCTAGTAGCTCTTACCTCTAGCAAGGCTGAAATGGAGATTCTCTCTCCCCTGTGACTGGAAACTGAATCTCGCATGAGACCCATTTCTTCTTCTAATGCTGGGATTAAAGGTGTGAGCTCTGTTACTCTTTTAGACTGACTCACTCTTGTGAAGCCCAGGGTGGCCAGAACTCAGGTCTCCTGATTCCTGGGATTAAAGGTGTGTGCCACTACTGCCCAGATTCTATGGTTATGGCTAGCTTTGCACTCTGATCTTCAGTGGCTTTATTTGATCATAAACAATATATATCACTACACTATTCCTACATACAAGCAGGGGAGAATTACTGACATCAAGTGTTTGTAATGTGAGGGCTTAATACATAGGCAACAGAGTGTTCCTCATCTTCACCACGTTTTTGAGATTCACATATTAAACATCTTGGCGAATGTTTAGTGTACACCTGAAACGATGTATGTGCTGTAGTCATTAGATAAACTTGCAACAACTGTCACAGAGTTCAGGCTGATTGACAGTGCTTCAAAACACAGTCTTCCTGATTTACCAACACTTTTAAAGGGAGGAGACTTGAAATTTTGTTACACTGTTTGGCTTTTCCCATTTGGTTCTTTTAGTTTTTTTTTTTTTTAATACATTTTCAAGCTCTCTTACTATTTAAATGTCTTAGAGCTGTCATATTATGTCAGTAATTTTTTTCTATTGCAAACTAGTTTTTTTTGGGGGGGGGGAGTTCGAGACAGGGTTTCTCTGTATTGCTTTAGAGCCTGTCCTGCAACTACCTCTGAATATCAGGCTGACCTCGAACTCACACAGATCCACCTGCCTCTGCCTCCCGAGTGCTGGGACTAAAGCCATGGACCACCAATGCCCGGCTCTATAACAAATTCTTGAGAGAAAAGGATAATCATTTTGGGTCATAGCATAAGAAGTTTAGGCCTTCTAATTGAGACCCATGTTCAGCGGGTCTGAGTCAGTTCAATGCTAGTTTCTCAGCTATCAGTCTGGGGGTCCATGAGCTCCCCCTTATTCTCTGTGGGTTTCTGGAGCCTGGTCTTGATCCCTTTGCTTATCACCTCTCCCTCTCTGCTACTGAATTCCAGGAGTTTGGCTCAGTGTTTAGCTGTGGGTGTCTGCTTCTGTTTCCATCAGCTACTGGATGAAGGCTATAGGATGGCATATAAGGTAGTCATCAATCTCATTATCAGGGAAGAGCATTTAAGACAGCCTCTACTGTTGCTCAGATTGTTAGTTGGGGTCATCCTTGTAGATCTCTGGACATTTTTCCAGTGTCAGTTTTCTCTTCAAACCTATAATGGCTCCCTCTATTATGGTATCTCTTTTCCTTTTCTCGTCTAT